TACCAACATGGGCCAGTGAAGCGGTGTCCTCCACAACTAGACTGAAGAACAAAAGGACAGCAACTTGTCTGTTCCCCTTCCCCGATTCCCCAATGCTGTTTCCCTCCCCCAGTTCCCCAATTAAAAATATCAAAAAAAAAGAGGAAAAAAATGATATTAAAATTATAAAAAAAAAAATTGGACTGGCCAAAAAAAAAAAAAGTTAAAAAATACAGCATGTATTTGATCCATGGATCAAATTAGCTAACATCTGTCCAGCCCTTAGAACAGCACAGAGCACACACTGCACCTTACACAAGAGTCAGCAATTGCTACTATATATTGTTAGGAGAAGGCAAAGTACCCATTAACAGTGTGTTTGGTATGTATTTGTGGAAAAAGGGAAAAATAAGAACACAGTCACATTTGCTTGTGGAAGAGGCTATGACAAGAAAGAAAGGGAGAATTTTCACTGTTACCATGTTCTATTCTCAATGTTTGAATCACGTGAAACATATTCAAAGCCTGGCAACCCCCGACCCCCCCCCATAGAAAATTTGCAGCGAAAGATCATAAAGTCACGGATTTAAAGGTTCAATAAGTTCATTCCGTATCTCAAACAGATGATAGAGGAGTAAAGAAGAGGGGTTTTGGGAAACCGAGTTTGGTGACGGGACCTGGGACCCATCTGATGGGCAAGACACTGATGTCGAAGGCAGAGTCTGAATACAACCACTTCCCGAAATGTGAGCGTAGGAAGAAAGAAAAATTTATAAGTGGTCAGTTTATATAGCATGTGAGCTTAACTACGGATGTCAACAAAATCGATAAGGGGAAGTTTAACTATTTCACTTCCATTCCTAATTATTTCTATATTTAGGTTGACCAAAAAACCAAAACAAAGCAAAAAACCCTTCACACTGGGAAAACAGGGACTCGGTGTATATTTGGATCATAGTGTAACTGGGCTCGTACTGTATTTTAACACATGGAGAATTGTCTAGAACTGCTGTGTCCAGGAGGGCAGCCCCAAGCCACATCTGACTATTGAGCATTTGAAATGTAGCTGGCCCAAATTGAGATGTGCTGTGAGTAAACGTCTTAGCATGACTAACAAAATGGAAAATATCTCAATCATTTTTTATATCGACGTGCTGACATGCTAATATTTTAGATATACCGGGTTATAGAAAATGTGTTATTAAAATTGATTTCACCTTTCTGTTTTGTTGTTTTGTTTGTTTTTTTACTAATGTGTCTAATAGAAAATTTAAAGTTACTTATGTGGCTTGCATTCTAGGGACAGCACTGTTCAAGAAGGATACCACCACACTGATAACAGTGGTTACCTCAGGGATATATTTAGAGACAGTGTGGTCAAAAGAGAAATTCCCCTCCGACTGAGTGGCTCAGTTGTTTAAGAGCATGAGCTCTGAGCAACAGGGTCGCCAGTTCAATTCCCACATGGGCCAGTGAGCTGCACCTGAGCTGAACTGCTGCTGAGCTGCCAACAGGTGGCAGGATGGCTCAGCTGGTGAGAGCATGTGCTCTTAACAAGGTTGCCGGTTTGACTCCCGCATGGGATGGTGGGCTATGCCCACCCGCAACTAAGATTGAACACCACACCTTGAGCTGAGCTGCCTCGAGCTGCCAATGGGCAGCCGGATGGCGACTGGACTTGGAGCTGAGCTAGGTGCACCCTCCACAACTAAGACTGAATGACAACAACTTAGCTGTTCCCCTTCCACAATTCTCCAACACTGTTCCCTTTCCCCAATTCCCCAATAAAATATTTTTTTTTTAAAAAGAGAATTTCCCTTTTCTGTAATATTGGATTTTTTTTTTTTTAACAAGAGGCACAGGAGCCCAGTTAAGAGCCCAAGCTCTGGGGCAGAGTGCCTGACCTTGAACAAGTCACTTCCTTTCTCAATGCCTGAGTTGTCTCACCTGTAAATTGGGAAAATAAGAGTACTCACCATATAGAGTTATACAGAGATTGAATGCGTTAACATATAAAGCACAAAGAGTGATGCCTGGCACAGGCCTAATAAACGTTAGCTATATTATTAAATAAAGCTTAATGAATGTGAGCAAATTATTAGTCCAAGGAGAATGTATTCACATATTGTTTCCATCATTAATAATACTAAATTGTGAAATACAGAGCACCCAGTTTGTAGCCAGAGAGACCCAGGTTGAAATCCCAGCTCTGCCCCTTCCTAGAAGGATGACCTTGGGCCAACCACTTTGTATCTCTGAGCTTCGGTTTCCCCATGTGTAAAATGGGGGTAACCTGGCTCATAGGATCATCAGGAGGATATAAAAAGACCTTACACAAAACGGGCTTGTCTTGCCATCATTATAAGGTACATGGTACTATTTATCAGTGGCAGCGTAACGACTCCATGCTGTGAATCAGAACTGCCAGACGCATGTGACTGGTATTAGAGTTGGAGGCTGGAGAAGCAGGTTTGAATCCCAGGCCTCCCATGCTGTGTGGACTTGGCTGAAGCCCTGTCTACCTCTGGGCCTCAGTCACCCCATCTGTACAACGAGGGGCCCGGGCGTGAGTGTCTCTCCAGTTTTTCTTCAGAAAACCCTCCATCCCCTAGAGACTTGGGGGTAGAGTACAGAGAGGCCCCCTTTGGGGGTCAGATGTTAAAGTCTGTGTTTCATCTTTAAAGTGAATTAGGTTTTTGCATTGTACTCTGATTCTTTAATAGAAGAATGCCTTTCCCCTCAAAACAAAATTAAAATAAAATAGTCTCCTCACCCCTGCAATGATCCAGTAAAATGAATGTTCCAGAAAGAAGCAGTATGCTTAGTTTGGCGTTCTATGTAACTGTCTCCTGTCCCCAACTCCCTACTGTAAGAAAAGCACCAGACTTAGTGGTCTAAGAGTTCCTAAAAGGGTCAATTTTCTGTTAAAATTTTAACAGAAATTTTGTATTTAAAATTTAAACAGAAATATAAAATTCTGTTTATATTTTTAAAAGCAGAGAGGGAGTAATGCATGTATGTGGTAAAAAACAAACAAACAAACAAAAAACCAAGAAAGAAAGAAACCCTATGAGTTTAAATGGGTATACTGCAAAAAATAAGTTTCTCTCCATCCCATTTCAGCCTTCCCAGAAACAAAAACCTATACATGTTCCCACATTTAAAAAAAAAAACCATGGATGTTAACTAAACGGATTGCGGTAATCATTTCACAGTCTAAGTAAGCCAAATCATTATGCTGTTCACCTTAAACTTACACAGTCCTGTATGTCAGTGATATCTCAGTAAAACCAGAAGAAAAAAAATACAAAGAACAATATCCCCACTGTTCCATGCTTTTTTTTTGTAGATTTCACCCTATAGCAGTACACCTGTTCTGTTTTACAGTTGTATGGTTTTTCCCTTATGTGGATGCATAATTTATTTCATCAGCCTCTACTGGTGGACATTTAGACTGTTTCTAATGTTTGCTATGACAAGCAACGTGACAGTGAATATCTTTGTGTGTCTGTAGACATGTGCAAGCATTTCTGTAGAATAATTCCTAGTAGTACAAATTCAGGATTAAAGGAATGTGCATTTTATATTTTGATAGTTTCTTTCAGCCAAATTGCTCTTCCAGAGGCTGCACCTGCCCATAAGGTCTGACAGGTTTGCCCACCAGCCTCCAGCCCCTAGCTGAGAAACCTTCCCCAACATTGCCACCTGCCGCCCACAATGGGAAATGCAGCCTTTCTATAACCAGCCCAGAGCTGCTCCCAGAATGTCGGAGGGTCCCCTCTGCATCCGTAGAAGCGTCTGTATGGAGGAAAGGGCAATGGAGAAATCACTCTTTCCTGTAGAAGCAATAGGTGCTGTGATGTGTCAGGTGCTGTAGGCACAGGATTTTGCAATCCAACAGATCCAGTTTCCATTTTGCTGGCTCTGCCACCTACCAGCTGTGTGTCTATGACAAGTGACTTCTCTGAGCCTCAGTTTCCTTACCTGAAAAATGGGTATAATAATACCAAACTTCCAGCATGGATGGCAGGATTCACTAAGATAAGGATTTGCCTCTAAAAAGAAATTAGGAGACACGAATAGGCAACTCACAGAGAGCAAAAGCAAATGACTGGTGGGGGGAAAAAAAGATGTTTCATCAAAGTCTTCAGGGAACTCCCCATAAAGCCAGTTGCCCTTTTTTGCGCATCAGATTGGCAAGGATTTAAAGGCTGATAACTGCATGTTGCGGAAGGTGTGGGAAAATGCAAATGAAAACAAGTTACCCAACTCTGCCCATCAGATTGGCAAACAATAGAAAGACTGATAACATCTGTGGGGAAAGAGCAGGCTCTTTCTCTTTGGGCGGGCATATGAATTGCTCCATCATTTTGGAAACAATGCCGTAGTAGCTAATACAAATTTTAATGGGTATGCCCTTTGACCCAGCAAACCCACTTCCAGGAAACTGTCAGCAAGAAATAAAACCACCAGATGGTAGAAGAGATACCAGTACAATGAAATACTCTAATAGCCACACCCACCCACACACACACAAGGGAACAATTATAGCTACCCTTTGGAGTGGGGTGGCGTCCTAAAATACTGACATGTAAGGGCTAGAAAGATGTCTGTATTTTCAATGTTGATTTTATATCCTTCCACTTTGCTGGATTTTCTCTTTTTTTTGCTTGAGTTAGTTTTATCATGGATTTTCTGGGGGCTTCCAGGTGTAGTATCAGATCATCTGCAAACAAGGGTAGTTTTATTTCTCCTTTACCCATTTTTATATCAGTAATTGATTTCTCTTATTTCATTGCATTGGCTGAAACCTCTAGAAGATGTTTGTATTGATGGAGAGAAGGTATCTATATTGTTAGATTTAAAAATAACAAGTTGCAAAGAATAGATATAATCCTTTTCTGTAAATACACACAGAGACAATCTCTGTCTCTATTTGCAAAACAGAATATTCCTACAGAACACTGAAAGGATATGTACCAGCATGTTAACATGGGTTTCCGTAGGAAACGGGGCTTGTCAGAGTAAATATTATTACTTTTTACTGTACATCTATGAATTGTTAACCACAAGACTATGTTTCTTTGTTAGCTTAAACAATCTAACATGCTAAAGCTTGGTTTTTCAAAATATATAGATAAAGGAAATGAGGTGATGAGCTGCTGTGAGCACTGAATGCGACAGCGCTTAATGAACCTGGGATCTGGCACATGGGAAGGACTCGAAAAAGATAGTGCTTTTTTCTTATTACCTGAGCCAATCCTGACAGCCACCTGCTAGGAAGAGCCTACCCTTGTTCCCATTTGGCAGACGAGATCCTCCACCTTGAGCCTGGACACCCTCTCTGAGTCCCGCAGTCGGACCCGCCACCCACCAGGGCCCTCGGGGTGCTTACCCACTGACAGGGAACCACGTGCCAGTTTGGGGAGCAGCAGGTCGAGCTGGCGGAAGGTGTGGAAGATGTCGGCTGAGTGGACACGGTCCTGGGCCTGGCTCTGATGGGTGCGTGGCAGGGCATCCACTCCGTACAGAGTCAGGTAGCCAGCTCTGGGGGCATCAAAAGCGGATCAGGGGTCCTCCTTGGATACTCCTGCCCAAACCTTCCCATGGCAGCCTATAAGCTTTTTTTCATCCATATATAAAATGAGCACCTACTCTTCCTACCATTGTAATATTTGCCTGGACTATTCTGAGCTGGTGAGTCACTGAAGAAAACAGACAAAACCCTCAAGAGGAGGGGCGAAGGGGCTCCAGCCAAGGGCACAGCCCGGGCAAAGGCCCAGCGTCAAGCGAGCAACCATGCCCGGTCAGAGAGCTGCCAGGTGTCGCCGGTCCAGGCGCTGAGACTGGCGTGGGAGTGGACAGGGGCAAGAGGGGTCTGGGTGGTAGGGCTGGTCACACGGGGCTGGCCAGGGATGGGGGCTGCGACAGGGAGGTTGAGCTTGACCTGAAAGGCCCTGGGGGTCTGAGCAAAAGGACAGGGCCTGGGGGTGTGTGTGGAGAAAGGATGAGACACAGGAACAAGTGTGTGCACTTACACACACACACACACTCACACACACTCACACACACACACACTCACACACACACACTCACTCACTCTCACTCACACACACACACTCTCACACACACACTATCACACACACACACTCACACACACACTCACATACACTCACACACACTCACACTCACTCACTCTCACACACACACTCACACACACTCACTCACACACTCACACACACACACACACACTCTCACACTCACACACTCTCACACACACACTCACAC